ACCAATTATTACATACACCTTGTCTTAATACATTCAGATATATGTCATCTACAAAGTAAATGTTTAGTTTCTGGATACAAATGTTATGCAAAATGTCAAATTAGCTGAACTTACTCCAACAATCTCAAGAAGAGACATATTATACTTGTTTGTCTTATATGTGACATCTATCCACATCGCCTAAGGAAAAACATGTTATAAGTGTAATGATGTTGGACGCATGAAAAATAAATCTTCCCAACTCATTTGATATATCATTTTCGCGATAAAAATAAGTGTAACCTCCTTTTTGAAAATACGACAAAAGAATTTGCATTTCAAACTTACCTGCTTTCTCCTTAATTTTTATCTTAATTATCTCGTGCATTGTATATGGTTTTTAGCGAAGAAATGTTTTCTCGATTTTTCTCCTTCAGTGTCGATAAGATATAGTGTTGCTTCACATTTTTTCTTGTCAAATCTACCACTAAACGAGTTTCATTGTGAGACAGTCGCACTACATATACATGACCTTCTAAATGTTCTGTAGATTCATGGTTATGTTTTTCACATACCATACTTAACGTCCAAAAGTTATACAACTTCAAATATTTACCCTTTAGTTGGAAGGAACAATTATTTATTTTATTTTATTTATTTATTTATTTTTTGTCTTTGTGTGTCTACTTGAAATTTTAGTACTTTTATATACACTACCACGATCACACATAAGTAAAACTTTTGTTAAGAGCCTACTAGCTCTTACCTTTCTTTGATTGATGATTATAATATAGCCAAGAGAACGCCCCATCTTTTGAGCCCAATCTATTAAATCTTGGCAAGATTCAAGCATTTGAATTGACTTTATTGTTAATATTATCGTACTATTATATGATTATATAACAAATTGAAATATATAGTAATAACATTAAACATCATACCATGTTGTTGGAGAATGTCGATGTGTTGTTTACAACTTCATTTGCTTCATTTGAATGAAAACTCGCCATTGGTGTAGAACAAATATATTATAATACTTGAGATTTGAAAGATATGGAAAATAGTGATAGTGAAAGATCGAGTAGCAATTGGAATTTATAATTGATAATAATAATCTTTGTAGATTAGTAGTATTTGGTATTTATAAGGGATGATATATTTTTTATAAACTAAAAGTTACAAAAAAGATGATGATTTAAATTTTTGAAATGTGTAAAACTTGTAAATGAGATGAATGATTTTTCTATCATATTTGCAAGTTGTAAAAGATGATATATATATATATATATATATATATAGATATATATATATATATATATATATATATATATATATCTATATATATATATATATATATATATATTTTGAAATGTGTAAAAATCATTAATGTGATAATATATAAAAAGAACAAGTTGTAAAAATCATTTGGAATTATTTTTCGTTTAATGTGAATCACTGTTACATGCAATGAGATAATATCTGAAAAAATCATTTGGAAATTACTTTTTATTTCTTGTAACTAAATTCAATGGGATAATTATGTGCAATATAACAATATTATAAATATGTATCTCAACGGTATTGATATCTTATGACTCATTTCCACCCTAGGGGCGGAGATGAATAAAATTTCCCTAACCAAATTTACTTCCTGTTTAAATTATTATATTTCTATTAAATTTAGGGATTGTAATCCAACGGCACCGTGTTTATGGAAAAATGTCGCCCAGCCAAATGTTTAAAATTAAAGTCTTCGAAAAAAAAAATGTAGTTTAAGAGAAATGTAGGTAGTGTGCTGTGTTTGCTATTCTAAAAAATATATTATATTTCTATTTCTGTTACAAAAATAAATTATTTTCATCACAAACCATAGAAGTATATTTACAAACTGTTAAAATTTGTCTAAAAGTTTTAATAAAAATAAAATGTTGAAATTTCATTTAAAACATAAATAATCGGAGAATGTAAAAGAGAAAAGCTTCAACCAACTTTTTTTTTTTACACTTTTTTAGAGTACAATTAGTTACACTCTAAATTTAGATTGTTGTTAGAGGGTCTTAAAACACAATCCATTTTTACTAAATAGAATTTAGTGTAATTCAAGTCTGGATTTTATTTTAAATTCTAAAATTAAAGTTTAAAAATAAAACGTTGTCGGAGATGCTTTTAGTATATATTTTAAGTTAGTAAAATATATTAAGAAATTAAATATCCTTCTATTTTTTTTCTTATTGTATTATATCAAAACATTTTTTTTCACTAGTTGTTTTTTGTCAATTTAAATTGATCAGCTAATTTGGTTGTTAGTTTTTACATTATTTTTATCAACCATTTATCCATTACAATGTGGTTTTTAAATTATTCTATCAAATATAGCCTAAATTTTATACAATGTAACACTCAACTTCATATATATATATATATATATATAGATATATATATATATATATATATATATATATATATATATATATCGGCTTAGGGAATATGTGGTTGTTATGTACCTAATATTAGATATAGAACCATCAAAAACTACGTAGATTTAACAAAATGCAATCAAATCTCTCTACCATCTTTCTTATATCCTCTATTAGACTAGATGATAGGCTTTGTACATATTTTTATGAAGTTTTAAATATTTAATTTTGCACCACAAACCATGTATAAGAATACATTATCAACTACCGATAAGTCTTCATATTCAAATTTAATATAGAAAAATGTAGTAAAAGATTGAAATTGTTCATTAAAAACCCAATAAACTTCTTCCCATAACACATCAAAATAGAATCATCCAAGTATACATATGGTAGGTGTCAAAGAAAGTTATGAAGCCTACTGGAGGTCTAATATAAACAACACATTCGAAATAGATAGATGTTGGGGATAAATTATGAAATCAATAATTTATATGAGCAAAAGCAATAGGAAGAAGCTAATAATGAAAAAAAATGTGATTTTTAATCAAAATGAAGTCAAATTTGATGGTTCTATACCTAATATTATATACATGACAGCCACATATTCATTTTTTTTCTCTCTCTAAATCGATCTCTTTCTCTCTCTCTCTCTCTCTCTCTCTCTCTATATATATATATATATAATATATATATATATATATATATATATATATATATATATATATATATATACAGAGAGAGAGAGAGAGAGTCCGATTCCGGTAAGAAGTCAAAAAATAGTGAGTACTGCGAGGACAATTCTAAACCACCCATTTCGTCAAAGACAAAAACGTCAAATCAAATACTTGGTCGTGGTGCATGCGCATGCAAGCCACGTCCGTAGTAACTCATACGAACTCGACGACTTAATTATGTGCGACGAACATCCATGAAATGTCATTTAAGTGAGTTTTATTATTTGTTTTTGTTTATTTTAGTTTGTTTTTATTTATTTTTAAAAGTTTTAATTAAAAAAATAAAGTAGATATATTCTCGGTTTTAACGTTTTTTTTGTCATTAAAAAAATTTTTTTGTTCGTTTTTTTTTATTTTTTTTAATATTTTTACTACATACTTGAAGATATTAGTGTTTTTGTTTATTTCTTTATTTAATTTTTTATTATTTTTATTTTTTTTAAAACTGGACACGTGTTTTGGTGAAGGATTTTTTTTTTCATTTCTTTTTACCTATTTATTCTCCAAACAGTTAACCTTACCATAAAATATTAAAATCTCACACATAATTAAAAAAAACGTCATATCATCTCGCAAAATTTGACGATAAATAAAATCAAATCTCCACCTTTTATATTTTCAATTATGCGGCAATGATTTGTTATCGCAGTCATTACTTATTTTTGAGTCTTACTCAATCCAAATAAATGAATCACTTGATAAAATAAAAAATAACATGATTCATAAAAAAAATTCTCAAAAAAACATCTCAATGATTCATTTTTACAATGATTTTGTTGTTAATCACTAAAATTGTAATAAAATTGAATTTTTTCTTTATTTACTTAAAAATGAATCATGAAAATGTTTTTTTGAGAATTTTTTATTGTGAATTATCTTACAAATGAATCATGTAATGATTCATTTTGTTTGTTCGTTAAAAAAATATGTAGAAAAAACTTATTACGTTCCTATAAAATTTTTCATTTTTATTTGATTTTAACTCTCTCTCTCTCTCTCTCTCTCTCTCTCTATATATATATATATATATATATATATATATATATATATATATATGGTAAGGTTCAATAGAGAACCATAATTAACCAAGGAACCAAGTAACTAATCTTTTTTTCAACTTTTAAAACTTATTTTTTATAAAAAAAAAAAACTAAAAATACAGAAATTCATAACTTTTTATCCTTTTTCCAATGATATAAAATTCAAATTTTTTTTTTACGTCAAATTCACAATGTGAATCTTTGAGAATTCACAACGTGAATCCGGATTCACACGGTGAATTCGAAAAATATTTTTCACATTCACAATGTTAATATATGAATTTAGATATTTTTAGATTTTTTTTTCGATAAAAAAAAAGCTATAGAAATTGAAAAAAAGATTTGATTCCTTGAAGAACCAATAATTATGATTCTTTATTGAACTTTTATATATATATATATATATATATATATATATATATAGATATATATATATATATATATATATATATATATAATCTAGGATTATAATCGACAAAACAAGCATATGAAAATTGATGAAGATACGGTTTTTGTTATAAATCCGCAACTATCCTATTCAGTTTTTCAATAGAACAGAAAGTTTATATTTCTAAATAGAAATATATTTCTAAATAGAAAGAAGATTGACGCATAAAATAATCTGGTAAAGGTTTAAAGCGTTCAAAGTCAAAAGGCTGTGTTCAAACACATATGTGTAACGCCCTCTGTAATATCATTGCATATTCCAAGCTATTTTCCTGAAACATTCATGGCCCCTCCTCATTATACCCTACCCCACCATGCTAAATAACGTGCTTCCTACCTCTATATATACAGTCTCTTCTCCCTTCCTATCCTTCACACCATAATACATACATCTCTCCATCAAACTAGCAATCGCTTTCTACCTCCAAAACCTTGTATTAGCGAATACTTAGTTTCAGCCAGCAATCTACCGTAGTTAATTCTATTGAGGCATTAATGGAGAGACTTCCGAAGTGTGCAGCAAACTATGTCCCTCTCACTCCTCTCACTTTCTTCAACAGAGCATCAAAGGTTTATGCCAACCGAGCCTCTGTCATATATGGAGGAGTCAGCTTTACCTGGCGCCAAACTTATGAGAGATGCTGTCGTCTCGCCTATTCCCTCCGTTCCCTTAACGTTGTCAAGAACGATGTTGTAAGTTTCTTGCTTTTTATGTCTATAATATGCATGCTTTGGTAGCAGACACTATTGTTTATGAAAAAAGTTTCTTTCTTCTAATATTCGATTTTGTTAATTCTATAGGTATCTGTGCTAGCGCCAAACGTACCTGCGTTATATGAGATGCATTTCGCAGTTCCAATGGCAGGAGCTGTGCTTAATGCAATCAACACAAGACTTGATGCTAAAAACATCGCCACTATTCTCTGTCATTCTGAAGCCAAGGTGTTTTTCGTCGACTATCAATATGTTCCTTTAGCATCTGAGGCGCTACAATTGCTGGATGCTAAAAACGTAGCCATGCCTTTGGTCATCGTGATTGATGACGTTGATAAGCCGACTGGTGTTCGTCTTGGCAAGCTGGAGTATGAGCTACTCATCCAGCATGGCAATCCACTATATCATGGTGAAGAACTTGAGGACGAGTGGGATGCGATTTCACTGAATTACACATCCGGAACCACCTCTGAGCCCAAGGGAGTGGTGTATAGCCACCGTGGTGCTTTTCTGAGCACCATGAGCTTGATTCAAGGTTGGGAAATGGGTACGGAGGCGGTGTACTTATGGTCACTACCAATGTTCCATTGCAACGGCTGGACGTTCACATGGGGTGTTGCAGCAAGAGGAGGCACAAATGTGTGCATACGCAACACGACTGCTGAAGAAATGTACAGGAGCATCTCTCAGCACAAGGTGACTCACATGTGTTGTGCCCCTATTGTCTTCAACATCCTTTTAGATGCCAAGCCCCATGAGCGTTGTGAAATAACATCTACGGTAAACATACTCACCGGAGGGGCACCGCCGCCGGAGGCCCTGTTGGAGAAGATGGAGGATCTTGGATTCCATATAATGCATGCGTATGGCCTTACTGAAGCCACAGGACCTGCTCTTGTATGCGAGTGGCAAACCAAGTGGAATCAACTGCCGAAAGATCATCAGGCGAGATTGAAGGCTCGACAGGGGGTCGGAATACTCACCCTCGCTGATGTCGATGTCAAAAACAAGGACACAATGGAGAGCGTTGTGCGTGATGGGAAGATGATGGGAGAGATCGTACTCCGAGGAAGTAGCATCATGAAAGGGTATTTGAAAGATGAGAAGGAGACTGCGAAGGCTTTTCAGAAAGGGTGGTTTTTAACCGGAGATGTTGGAGTTATTCATCCCGACGGATACGTTGAAATCAAAGACAGGTCAAAAGACGTGATAATCTCCGGCGGAGAAAATATCAGTAGTGTGGAACTAGAATCCATTCTATTCAAACACCCGGCAATACACGATGCAGCAGTAGTGGCAATGCCTCATCCAAAGTGGGGAGAAAGTCCCTGTGCTTTTGTTGTCTTGAAAGAGATGGAAAGCACAACTGAAACCGAAATCTTGGAATATTGCCGGAAAAAGATGTCAAAATTTATGGTGCCAAAGAAGGTGGAGTTTGTGAAAGAACTACCAAAAACAGGAACAGGTAAAGTCGTAAAAGTGGAGCTCAGAAAACTGGCAAAAACCCTAAAGATCTCGGAAAACATACAAATAAACAATAAGAGATCTCAAAAGGAAGTCCATTTGCATCAAACCCGGTACCAACAAAATGAACCCCATGATCAAGAAAAAGTTTTTGCAATGTCCCGACTTTGAATTAATGACTTCAATAATTTTATCTCATGTAAGTTTCGATACATGAAGGTAAGGGAGTATACCCATATATATGTCCTCGTTAATAATAGTTTACGTTAATAATAGTTTACAACAGGTGAGTTTTGTGGCATGTGGGCATCATAAAAATGGTATAATTAATTAACCTTCTTTTTGATATTTCTCCTCTTATAGGATAGATAATTAATTGGAACAGCATTAAATTGAAAAAATTACTTCCAATTTAGATTTAAATCTAAAAATGATAATGAATGACATGACTTCCATTTGATACACTTCTGTGTTGTGTCCGACCTTCTCAGCTATACACAACTTGACCGTTCAACTTCCAGTTTTTTCTTTTTTTAGCGATCCCTTTATTTACCTTTTTCATTTCGGCCCTGCCTATTAATTAATAAGTGTATCAAGTATCAACATAAGTAATAAACACTTTCTTTTCAATTAAACCATATCAAAATTGTAATTTTGTGTTGCATTTTTCAATCCCACTCCTTAAGGATTGTTAAAGTCGGAATGGTCCGTCTAACATGTGTAGTATCCTGCACATAAAACTGTGTTGACAGTCAAAGAATTTGTTAAATTGTCAGCTATATGATCTTATCATTCCATTTCCACCACTTTCTTCACAATAGAAGAAAAGGGTTCATGCAACTACTTGAATTGCAAATTTCAAAATTTGTTATCATTCTATACCGCCTCCGGTGAGTGTTTAGCTAGTGCATGACACCATAAAATTACAACATTACAATTAAACTATCACAAGTGAATACTGGGACAGAAAAAATCTGTTGCTGTTAGTGACAGATTAGTGACAGATTGGCAGCATACACACGCAAAATATAGTACTCGATTTCTAAAGACATCTATGACTGGCTTAGCAATGAAGTGTTGCCCGCAGCTAATTTTTACAATAATTTACATGATTATGAACAGATTAGCGACGAAATAATATAATATCTGAACTCTGTCACTAACGCTTAAATTCATAAAACGAATAATATCTATTTAAACTAAATGGTTTGTGTCTTTACGACAACTTTACGTGTAATTGTTGGTAAATTTAGTGTTATCAACATATTTCGGTGTAATTATGATTAATAAATGAGATAGGTTGAGCTCCATTTACTAACCGAGGTTGGAGGTGTGGGGTGCACACTCGGAGTGATAAATGTGAACTTAGGAATACGGGGGTCCGGGGGCAGCACCCCTTGGTGCAGGGTTCGAAGGAGCTGCAACACCTTAACGGGGTCTAGGGGTTGAGCCCCTAGTGGGGTCCAAGAGGCAGAGCCCATGGCGGTGGTTCCTGATGACATGTTGATGATCCAAGCGTTAGTTATGTCTCATAACTACCATTTTTGGCGCCAAATCTGGAGGCAACCGCCATACCGCTTTACCCTGTGGTATAAGAACATTCCCCATGTTCCAGAAAACAGGTTACAAACCATATACTCTTAAAATTTGATTTTAAGATTTGTTCTCTCTCACAAGAACACATTAACAGGTAATCTATGTTTCACAATCTGAATTAGGCTTGTAATTCAGATTGGTTCATTCTTGGATTATCCTACTTCTGAATTTGTGTACACCAGGCAAAACGGACGAATTATAGATTTCGGAAAGTGTTTGTTAAACATGATCCTTGAATCTATCCAAGTCTATATTTATTTTTATTCTGATCCCTTTATTTTCTAACATTTGAAATCTATAATTTGTGTGAAAGAATAACAATGACAGAATCTATTAAAGGCATGACTTCCAAATTTTGAATGTTGGATAAGTTTCAAGACACTGATTTTTGTTGTTGGCAGAAGAAGATACATATCCTTCTTACTACCCTAAAAGTTGTTCACGTTTTGAGCACTCCTACACCAGAAGCAATGGAGGATGAAACACTTGAACATACCACGAGAAGATGCAAATGGGAAAATGATGACTACATCTGACGTGGGCACATTTTGAATGGTATGCTTGACTCTCTCTTTGAAATTTATCAAAATCAAGAATTTGCAAAAGATCTGTGGGATACCCTTGAATCCAAATACAGGGCAGAGGATGCCTCAAGCAAGAAATTTCTTGTCTGTAGTTTTAACAATTACAAGATGGTGGATTCAAGGCCTGTCATGGAATAGTACAATGAACTCATGAGGATTTTGGCACAATTTGAACAACACAAAATGCAAATGGATGAATCCATTTCTGTCTCAAGTGTTATTGACAAATTGCCCTCATCGTGGAAAGACTTTAAACACATACTGAAACACCAAAAAAAAGAGTTGTCTCTAGTACAACTTGGCAGTCACTTGAGAATTGAAGAAGGTCTTTGGGCTCAAGAAAGTGGCAAGTGAAAAGAAAAGGAAGTTCCTGGATCTTCAGTGAACATGGTGGAAAATGATAAACATCAGAAAAATAACAAATGAAAAAGTAAGAAAAAAATGACCATCACAACTTTTCAAACAAGAAAGCAAAACTTATATGTTGGAATCGTAACAAACCTAGTCACATGAAACAAGATTGTTGTTTTAAGAATAACAAAAATGGTGCAAGCCCTTCTAGAGAAGGATAGAATGATCAAGGTCCAAAACCACAAGGTCAGAATTTTATTTCTGAAATTACTACTACTGCTGTTATATATCATGTAACACTACTTCTTAAATCATTTTATGTTCAGGATGATGATAATGCATGGTGGATAAACTCGGGGGAGACGAGTCATGTTTGTAAAGATCACTCTTGGTTCAAGGATTATGAAGTTGTTATTGATGAATCGGTGATGTACATGGGAGACCATAATAAAGCACCTGTTATTGGTCGTGGTTGTGTTTCTTTATGTTTTAGTTCTGGAAAAAGTCTTCTTCTTAAGAATGTTATTCATGTTCCTAAGATTAGGAAGAACTAAGTTTCTGGTGGTGTAATTAATTGATATAGATATAAACAAGTCTATAAATCTGATAAGTATGTATTATCTAAGTGTGGTACATTTGTTGGGATTGGATATTATTGTAATGATATGTTTAGGTTGAATGTAAATAATAAGAAAGTTGTAGATTCTATATACATGGCTTGTTCTAGTATTGATGATTCTTCTTTACAGCATGCTCGTTTAGGACATGTACATTATAAAAGAATGCTTGAAATGTATAAAAATTGATTAATACCATCATTTGATGTTAACATAGAAAAATGTATTGTATGTTAACTAAAATAAAGAGACAACCTTTTCCTAATGTTAAAAGGAATTCTGTTATGCTTGAATTAATTCATAGTGATCTATGTGATTTGACTTCAACTCCATTGTTAGGAAATAAGAAATACATAGTTACTTTTATAGATGATTATTCGCGTTTTTGCTATGTATAGTTATTACATTCCACTGATGAAGCCCTTGATAAATTAAAAATTTATAAAAATGAAGTTGAATTGCAAAAAAATGATTTAATTAAAAGACTTCACATTGATCGTGGTGGAGATTATTATGATCCTTTTTATTTCCAATCTATTGGTATTATACATGAAATAACTGCTCCATATACTCCCCAACATGATGGGATTTCTGAAAGGAAAAATAAAGTTCTAAAGGAAATGGTGAATTCTATGTTGTCTTACTCAGGTTTGAGTGATGGTTTCTAAGGAGAAGCTATGCTAACTACATGTTATCTTTTAAATAGAGTTCCAAACAAAAAGAACAAGATAACTCCCTATGAACTTTAGTACAAAAAGAAACCAAACTTAGGATATCTTAAAGTTTGGGGTTGTCAGGCTGTTGTGAGGCTGACTGAACCAAAAATGAAAGCTTTGGGTGAAATAGGTATTGATTGTATATTTATTGGATATGATGACCATTCCAAGGCTTGCAGGTTTTATGTTATAGAACCTAATGATTCTGTTTCAGTTAACACTGTTATAGAATCTAGAGATGCAATATTTGATGAAAATCAATTTTCATCCATACCTAGACTAAAGGACTTAGTTTCCAGTTCCATTGGGACTACCAATCAAGTTGTATCTGATTCAAATGAATTACCTAAGCTTAGAAGAAGTAAGAGACAAAGGAAAGCTAAATCATTTGGTAGTGATTTTTAGCTTTACCTAGTTGAGAGTACTAAAGATGAAATTGCAAATGAATATACATATTGTTTTAGTGTTGAAGAGGATCCTAAAACATTTGATGACTCAATGAAATCTCAAGATTTTTCTTTCTAGAAAGAAGAAATAAATGATGAGATGGACTCCATCATGGGGAATAATACGTGGGTGTTGTCTAATCTTCCTCTTAGATGCAAACCTTTAGGTTGTAAGTGGATATTCAAAAGGAAGATGAAATTTGATGGATTAATTGATAAGTTTAAGGCTCGATTGGTTATTAAAGGTTTTAGACAAAAACCTGGCATTGACTATTTTGACACTTATGCTCCAAGTGCTCGTATATCTACCATTAGACTGCTGATTGCCTTAGCAGCAATTCATAATTTGATGATTCACCAAATGGATGTAAAAACAACATTCTTCAATGGTGATTTAGAGGATGAAGTATATATGAAATAACCTGAGGGTGTTATTATGCTTGGAAATGAGCATAAGGTGTGAAAGTTGGTGAAATCATTGTGTGGTCTAAAACAAGCACCGAAACAGTGGCATCAAAAATTTGATGATGTTGTCTTGTCTCATGGTTTCAAGTTAAATCAATCAGAAAAGTGTGTATATAGTAAGTTTGATGAGTCTGGAAAATGAGTGATCATATGCTTGTATGTAGATGATATGTTAATCTTTGGTACTAATCCAGGTCAAGTTGACATGGCCAAAGAGTTTTTATAATCTCAGTTCTCCATCAAGGATATATGGAATTTCACAGTCTCATTACATTAAGAAGGTGCTTAAGAAGTTCAATTGTTCTGATTGTTCTCCTGTAAGTACACCTTTTGATCAAGCGTTAACATCAAGGAATCTTAATTTTACAATCTCATTACATTGAGAAGACAACATCATCAAATTTTCACGAGGCCATAGAGTTTTTATAATCTCAATGTTTGTTCGATGTCAACAAAACTTAGCTAATCACTTGACGAAGGTTTTAGCTAGAGACTTGGTAAATAAGTCGGTTATAGGGATAGGATTAAGGCCC